GGGTCACTTCCTCCCGCCACCTTCGGGAGCACCTCTCTCCGGCCAGCTGAGCCCCACAGCCGTTCCAAACCCCTGCCCCGCCCCCGGCAGTCCTCGGAAGGCACACGGACAATCAGACCCGATCTGGGAATCGCCGGCGTGGAAAATCCGGGGGAACAAACCCTGTTGGCTCTAGGCAGGTGCGGCTAGCTGTCCCTGTCCTCAGCCCCAAGGTCTGGCCGGCTGGCCCCCTCCCTCGGGCAGGAGAAGGGGGGTGCAGGTGCTGCGTGGGCTCCCCGGCCATGCCCACACCGGCTCCGGCAGCCCCTCCACTGGCGCAAACCTGTTCCCCACCCTGGCAAGGGCACCCACTGGGCAGACTGAGGTTGTGCCTGCCAAGTAAACCCAGTTTGGCTCTTTTGTGCATTTTTTTTTCCAAACTGAAGGCCCTCAGATTGCCCCCGATCTCAAGGTCCAGGCTGTTGGGGAAGTGACTCTTCCTCTAACTGATCCCGGTGAGAGAGTTCTGGCTCAGGGCAGGGCTGTCAGACTCACCACAAACCACCAGATCCATCCTGTCCATCTCACCGCCGCGCTCGGTTTCTGGGTCTGGAATGCCCTGAGAGGAAGGGGCTCATCTTCCTCCCACGTGGAGTCCGACTGGAGGGCAGGAAGTGGGTCACCCCCAGGTATTTCTGGAGCCCCTGCCGTGGGCTCAGGCTGTCCTCACCAGCTTAGACTGCCGCACAGACCTCGACCACAATCCATCCATCCGTCTGTTCGTTCCCCGGCCTGTCCGACGAGCAGTAGCCGGGTGCAGGCTGGGTGCCGCACCGGGGAGGAGGCGTCCTGCCTGTGCAGAGCTTACCACGCGGTGGAGGAGAGGCAGCTCTCGGGCGGTCACAAGGCAGGCAGCCACGTGCCCGGATGGGCCCCCCTCCCCGAAGAGCTAACTGGGCTTTGCCATCACGTCAGCTCTTCCAGAGCACAGGGTGCTCCCAGGCATCGCCCAAGGCAGGGAGTGACCGGGTCTGTGTTCAGAAAGTCGTCATGGACTTGGGAGTGTGAGGTCGGAGGCGGGCCCGCAGCGGGAGGACGGCCACCTGGACCTCGGCGGCTGGGAGGGGACTGGAGAGGGGGGAGAGGGGATGGATGGCGATGGGTTTGAACCCTGTCTGGGAGGCGGTGCCAGTAGGGCTGGGTGAGCGGTAAGATGGGGGTGCTGAGGAAGAGAGAGGGTCAAGGGCAACTCCGTGCGTTGGGCGATTAGGGGGCATTGAGGTCTTCTCGGATGAGCGAAGGAACGCTGAGAGCAAGCGCCGACCCCCCGGGTTAGCCACAAGCCAGGAAAGTGGGGAGCGTGCTCAGACTTCTGGTCACGGTGTCCCTGTCCCTGGAGACGATGGCCTTGGGGTGCCGATGGGGAGGGGACTGCCATTGGCTTAGGCAAGGGGCAAGGTGCTGTCACCTCAGAGCGGTGATTTCAACCTAAGAGTCTCAACCCAGGGAACGTCTGTGCATGTCTGGAGACATGATAGGTCGTCACAGCTTGGGGAGAGGGGTGACACGGGCTGGCACTGAGTGGGTAGAAGTGGAAATGCTGCCGAACACCCTACAACGCACGGGCCAGAGCCCAAAATAAAGAGCAACCTGGCCCCCAACGCCCCGCCTGAGAGGAGCTGAAGAGCGAAGTCCAGTCATGGTGGCTGTGGAGTCAGGCGCCCAGGTTCGAATCCCAGGTCTACCTACCACTTAGCACTGGCCCAATCACGGGCCCGTTCCTCTGGAGCTCTGGGCCTCACGGGAGAGGAGCTCCTGCCGGTGCCTAGAGCACAGGAGATAAGCATTGAGCAAAAGGTGAGCTGCCTCTGAGCCTGTTTTCCACTCAGCTCAAACGGCCACGCCCTGGGAGTGAGAGGAAGCTGGTCTTTACCTGCCGCAGCTGCTCAGCTCTGGGCGCTGACTGTGACGCCTGCATTAGGGAAGGGAGCTTTGCTGGGGGGTTATGACCACCGTCGTCCTAACTGCAGTGTGCCAGGTGCCACACAAAGCACTGTCCACGCATCAACTCAGGCCACCCTCACAAAACTCTGCCAAGGAGGAACCCTGTCCCCATTTCATAGGGAGAAAAACTGACACTCCGAGAGGTTGTGTGCAGGCACTGCGGACACAGAGGAGAACAGGCTTACCTGTGATCTCTAGGGCCTCCCTCTGGTTAGGGAGACGAGCAAAAACCCCCGAACGCAATAACATAAGAGAAAATGTAGTTTCCACTCTGCCTCCCCTGACGCACACTCAACAAATAATTAATGAGCATCTACTACGGGCCAAGCGCTGTCTCAGCTGCCTGGGTTCCTGCCCCCGGGCAGCTCACAGTCTAGTGGGCAAGACTGATCACCAGATAACGCAAGCCACGCATACCCACCCTTAGTACCTGGCATTTCCTCCGCGCCTGGCTCTAACGTGCTTTGGTTCATTTAACCTTGAGATTTGTCATGACAAGGTACCAATGCTGTCCTCATTGCTCAGTTTGGGGAATGAGGTTTTGAGAGACTAAGGAATTGGCCCAAAGTATTACATCTGGTTTCCAGTGGAGCCAAGTGGTCTTTCTGACCCCAGAGCTCAAGGTCTTTAACCACTGAGACGGATCCCCGCCCTGTTTTGGGTCCCTCTTACTCACGCCCAGTTCCTACCCATGTCCTTTTGCCCCAGAGATCCCTCTGAACCTCACCTTCTGGATGTGATCAGCTTGCTCAACAGGTGGGAGAGAAGTGTTTCATGGTTCCAAGCCAGCAGGGTCCTGAGAGATGGGGGATCTCCAGAATGGGAGCCAGGAGCCGGTCCTAGGGAGCCCAGATGTGCAGTCAACAGAGCAGGGCATCCTAGGGCATCACCCCTCACTCCCGAGACGGGATCTCCGTGCCCAGAGGTGGTCAGGAACACGCAGGATCCCCCCGTCCTGTGAGAGAGGCTGCGGGCACGTGGGCATCGAAGGAAGAGGAAACCTGCGAAAGGTGCTCCCTGCAGGAGCCCGGGGAGGTGTGTATTCGCCTTTCCGAGTTTCCTTTTCAGGTTTCCTTCCGTGAAACCCAGCCTCAGGGCTCCAGGGAGCACGCCCCTTCACCAACTCAGGCCAGCACACCCGCTGCTGCCAGCGCTCTGGACCGCCGGTGCATCCCGCCAGCACATCCCGCACCCTGATTTCAAGCCTTTTCCAGTTCCCTCGTCTCACACCTGTCCGCTGAGCCTCTCTGAGATGCCCGGCTCTGCTGTCTGGAAGTTGCAGTGCGGGCGGAAGGCCTAAGGCTGAGCCCAGAGGATTCAGCTTCTGCCCTCAAGGGGCACACAGAACGGAGGCCGTTGGCAGGCCTGTGTCATGGCTGGGGGTGTGGGCTTGGCCTCCAGCAACAGACAACCTGTAACATGGATGTGGAATGTTCTGGAATGAGAGTGTCAAGCAGCCTCCACATTCATCCTGGGGGGCGGGTCCCCAGAAGCTCTTCTCAGAGGTGGCGGCTGCTCACCAGGCAGGATTCTCACTAGTGGACTCGGAGGAACCCTTTAGGTGGAGGAAAAAAACTTCTCAGGCAGTTATGAGGATGAGCTGGCAAACACACCCCTTTCTAGGCTCCGTGTGGGCTCCACAAACCACAGGTAGACAGCAGGGCGCAGGGATGGGAGCTGAAGCTCAGACGGGGCAGAGTGCGTTGCACAGCCAGGGAGTCCCGGCTCTGCCACCCGCAGCGGGGAAGCGGTGACTTCCCACACCTTGCTTGTCTCGTGTGCAAAGCAGCTGCCGGGGGCCCAGGTGCTCCCAAAGACCTGGTCTGTAGATGCCCGTAGTAGACTTCAGTTCTCCCGCATGTCCTGGCTGCCTGGGGTTCAGGAAGGGCTTGCTCTGTCCCTGCAATTTAGCCCCCTCAGCCCTCAGATTATCCATTCATTCCTGACCTTCTGGGGCATCCAGGACAGCTGAATCCTGGATCCAGCAGGGCCTGAAAGCACCTCTTGGTTGTAGGAGCCGGTGGTTTTCTGGCTTGCCCTTTTATTTGTTTTTCCCCCCTGAAGTTAGTTGGCCCCGGGTATCCATCACTTGTAACTAAGAATTCTGACTACTGGGGGCAGGGCGATGGGGGAGCCAGGCTGGCTGGGAAGAGGGGTCTAGGGCGAGGGAAGCTGAGGGTATGGGGGAGGAGGGCAGCCTGAAGGCCCCAGAGGCGGGAATCAGGAGCACTGGGAGGCTGAGCAGCAGCCCCTGGTGTTGGCAGCAGACGGGAGACCGTGGCCCTGCCTCCCCTAGACCTCAGCGGGGAGGGGGATGGCTGATAGAGTGCTCCCTCCAACCCCTCTGGTTGATTACACAGGGGCCAGGACGGTGGGTGGGGAGTGGGGAGGCTCGCGGGTGGTGGGGTGGTGTCACGATCCCCAGGTTTTCAGCCCCTCCACCCTGTACACTTGGCTTCCTTCAGCAGCAGGTTCCCCTTTGCCCCCGGCATCCCAGAAGACCCTGTTTTGAGCTCTTCCCCGCGCCCCCTACCCCTGCCCCGCCGATATTCAAAGATCTAGATCTACATGGGAGCCAGGGGATCAGGATTTTATCAAATTTCCCAAGGTGATTCTCAGGCTTTCCATGTTTGGGAACCGCGGGCCTAACTCAAAACTCCATCCACCTTAGGGACCGGGAGTCGAGGGCAAGGAGGGAAAGAGGCTTCCTGGCCATCACGCAGAGCATCAGTGGCAGAGCCCGGAACGCAGGTCTGCCTGGCATGGGGCCTGGCGTGCTGGCACGGGGCCTGGCGTGCTGGTGGCCGAAGGACAAAAACACAGGCCCCGGTGCCCTGTTTCAGTGGAGGACCTCGGGGGACAGGGTGCTCCCGGTCTAGAGCCAGCCCTCTGTGCCATGCCGTGGTACAGTCTGCGTGCCAACCAAGAGTCACCTGGCTCTGCGTCCCACCCCACAGCTGCAGGCGCTCATGGCGGCCAGAGAGTGATGGTCAACTTTGTCCCTTCCTCCTTTTCAGGTTCTCCGGAAGCCCGACCTCCAAACGAGACAAGAGTTACGGTGTTTTAATTTCTTGTTGCTCCTCAGCCCGGAGCTTTTGTGGAAGACGGAATCTCGGGCCTGCCCAGCACAGCTTCTACGTTGGGAAGCTCTGTTCTCACCAGCGGGGGGATGATTCCGCACGCCCCGCCCGAGGCTGGGGATGCACCTCACTCAATCCCTGGGCATTTCGCCGCAGCATGAGACAGGCAACAAACAATTCCACAGCCATGCAAATTGGCCTCGTTTATGTATTTGGATGGGCTGTGAAATATTGGGTGTCAGATGCGTTTTTGCAAATCAGGTCTTGTTAGAAAATCCACCAGAGGAATTAGCCAGTGAAAACAAAACCGCCAGGGCAGAAAGGACGATACGCAGGGGAGCCTGGTGTTATGCTGCGGGAGCCTGGCGACTTCCCTTAGAAAGTTTGTTTTATTGTATGACATGCAGTTAACCTGAAGCATGGCCGCCCACCCAACATGCTGGTGCCTGCTAGGACTTCACACTTAGGGAGCTGTGGGCTGTGCCAGGAGGCTGTGTCGGGCGGGCTACACGCTTGGCCCTAAGGCGTCCTCACCGCAGCCTCTGAGGGGGTGTCATTTCTCTTCCCAGGTAGCGAGTGAGCCCATGAAGGAAAGTACAGTAAGGTTGCCCTGGCCTGTGCATTGCCTGTTGCCCATCTCTTGTGTTCTGTAACCTTTTGCCTACTGTCTCCCACAGCCCCTCCTCCTCCCCCTCCTTCCAACTCTGTTTTCTTAGATTCTGTAGGTCCACTTGGCGCCAGTTCAGCAAATGTCAACTATGCGTATGGCGACATTCTGTTGTGGACATGGACAAAGATGAAAGAGAGTTTATTTGTTGTGATGGAATTCCAGACCCTGTTGTGGAGACTTGAATTATGTCAAAGTTGCAACCTATGTTGTACTTTGAATCAAAGCGGTCCCTTTCTTCTTTCCTCCCTCCCTATCTCTCTCCCTCCATCTCTTCCTGCCTCCCTCTCTTCCTTCATTCTTTCCTTCTTTTCTTCTTCTGTCCTAGGAGCAAAGCCCAAAAGCCTGCTCTAAACAATGTTGATAATCTGCCTGCAGGCAAAAGGCAAGTCAAATAGCCCTTCTGAGCCTGGGGCTACTTCTGGAAGAGTTAGGTCCTGGTAGCTTTTCCACCACAAAAATAAGAGCAGTTGTCTTGGAGGGAGAGATTGGCCCGAGAGTAGGAATCTGGGGTGCACAGGTGAGGCCCCCTCCCCACTCCAGGGGGCTGGAAAGTCCAGTAGGACGCAGGGGCTGGGAGGCATCACTGGGGTGTCCAAGGCCCAGGGAGCTCACACGGCTTGCCCCACACGGCACGGCCAGGCAGGTGGCAGACCCCGAGCCGGCAGCACGGCAGGGTCTGGCGGGCGGCATGCCCGACCTGAGCGAACCTGGCAGCGAACACGTGGGTATCTGCAGGGAGAACTCTCACTCAGGGGCCCTGCAAGCCCCTGCCGTGTCCAGACCCTCCAGACCTGGAGAGATCTTTTCGGATGGGAGCAGGAAGTGTGCATGGCTCTGCGAGATCCCTCCGCTTCTGAATGGCGGCGGTTCATTCACGGACCACCACATGCATGGGTCAAACGTGGCCTGGGGGTTGCCGGCCTCCTTCTGAGACTAGGAAGGCATTCTGAGTCGTGCAGGGGAGAGAAATGAGGGCTCTTGAAGATGACGCTGGGCCCTGTCATTGAAGAGCTCTCAAACTAAGGTAAGCGTTGCCTTTCCCTTCCCCTAAACTTACGTTCAAAGACTTTGGTTGGGACACACAGAGCAACCCCAGGCACACCCAAGCGATGCCTTTCAAATGCAGGCTAGACACGGGGCGTCCACCTAGCTGTAAAATGAGAGAGCCTGGGAGGCAGGGGAGTCAGATGTATGTTAGCAGGCCTGGACTGAAGCTAGGCGGGAAGGGGTGTATCCCGAGGGTTTTCCTCTCAAACTGAAGCAGAGAGGGGTGAGATATCGCAACCAGGGGCGGGGTGGTTTCGGGAACGTGCTGAATAACGGAGCCCATCAAAACAAGTTGGAAATTAAGAGGCGAGGCGAGGAGGGGCTAACATCTTCTCTAATGCAGCCAAAACAATTCCTGCGAAGGAATCTGGTCAACATCTCGTGGCTGTCAGGGGACCTGGGGCCAAATCTCAGCTGCCCCCCTACTTTCCAGCTGCTGCTGTGCACAGCAGGACGGGAACCTCTCGGAGCTCCGTAGACGACCTGGGAAATGCAGCACCTGGTGCGGTGGCTGTCCTGAGAACGGAGAGAGCAGACATGACAACTCTCAGTAGCCGGACACGTGGTCTGTGGCGGGCCCAGGTCACCTCACTCAGCCTCACTCCTTCCACGTTCCCGCCAACCTCGGTGTCAACGGGGCGTGTGTAAGCCCCTGGGGAGTGTGATGGTGTGGTTTCCACCACGCTTCTCATTTTTATCACAGCAGACGTGCACATCTCATTCCGGGGGTGGGGAGGTGGCTTCCCCGAATCCCCTCAGGACACCCCGGGAGACCTCCCCTGGCCACACAAGAACCCCAACCAATCCTGCCCCCCGAGAGTTGGCCTGGAAAACACGCACAGGCTTCCCTGGCCTCGTGCCCTGACCCTTGAATGTAGTAAGCAGTTTGACATGAAAATAGATGGCCTTTTTTGGTAAGTAGATTTGAAGAGGTTTTCTTCGACATCCATTCTTACCTCTGACGTAATGCTCGCCCAGTACTGGGCACGGGATGCCTGCTAAATACGTTTTGTAGAAGAGAAGTGTATTGTTTTCCCCCGCAGCAAAAGCAATTTATGTCTGCAATGGTCAGCTCGGGAACCGTAAGCAGGCTGGATGGCATGAGCTGGGAAGGGCAATGGGTAAGGCTAAGTGGTCTTTGGAAAGGAAAATGGTGAATTCCCACTTGGAAACCGCAGGGTTGGAGGGTGGGTGGCTGCTTTCTTGGCCGAACCCCAGCAGGATCCCCATCTCAGGCTGCCCTGGGCCTGGCACAGGGCCTGGCTTGGGGGCCCGGCAGGGGGCAGACGCTTGGTAACGCTGTGAGCGTGCTGCTGGCAGTGGCCCATGCCCAGGGTGTGTGCAGGATGTTGGGGTTGGGCAGGGGAGCTTCTGGCTGTCAGAATGGGACATGGCAAGCCGTGGGCATGGGCTAAGGATGGTTGTGAGGGACAGTCCTAACGGAGGGCCATGCACACCCAGTGCCAGGGACCACAGTTCTATGTGCATGAGGGGGGGGGGGCACGCTGAGTGAGCTCATGGTGGTAACCCTCTGGGAAGCCAAGGTATGGAAGCTTTAGAATCATGTACTCTTTTATTTGCTTTTTCAGGTCTGCATTTTAATTATTTTCCTCCAAAGAACTTACGTGATATACAAGGTCTACCTGGAAAAAGCGCAGCCATTGTTAATATAACGAGAACGGTTTGCGTGGCATTGATGTAACCTGGCAGCCGAGGAGAGTGGACTGGAATGCGCATGCGTGAGCCACGATGCCTTCCCTGTACACATCAGTGGGGGTGGTAGACACTGTTGAGTGAGCATGTGTGCTGTGTGGTGTCTCATTCAAAATGATTGAGTGAGTAGAGCAATGAACCTGCATCAGATTTTACCTTAAGCTTGAACATTCCTCTGTGGAAACTACTCAGATGATTCAGAAGGCCAGAGCCGTGGGCAACTGGTGATTGGCAGCTTCACCACGACAACGTACGTGCTCCTGCATCACGTCTCAGGCAGAGGTTTTTGGTGAAACATCACATCACTCAGGTGACTCAGTCCCTCTACTGCCCAGATTTGGTGCCCTGTGACTCCTGGCTTTTCCCCAAACTAAAATCACCTGTGAAAGGGAAGAGATTTCAGACTATCAGTGAGATTCAGAAAAATACGACAGGACAGCTGATGGCGACTGGGAGAACCGTGGGAGGTCCCAACGTGCCTGCTTTGAAGGACTGAGACATCCTTGTCCTATGTACAGTGTTTCTTGTATCTTGTATCTTCTTCAATAAATGTCTCTATTTTCCACATTATCTGGCTGGATCCCTTCTGGACAGACCTTGTATGTGATGCGATCCATTGAAAAACTGATGTATTTCCTTTCTTATGGTGGCAAGGAGAAATAGGTATTCCTCGCCAGCTGGAGGATGGAGCGGTTGAACGCAGGACTCCACGAGTCAAAGCAATGAATCAGCCAGGGAAACCCTCTCCGGGTCCAGGTGTGCCCTCACGCTGCTCCTCACGGGACCTCCGCTGAACCCGAGGGGCATAAAGAGTGCTTTATCTCTCGCCCAGGTCCGACCACAGGCAGGTGACTCCTTACTCATTAGTCACGGAGGGCTGGTGAAATGGAGAAGGCTGCTTAACAGCCAGGGCCTGGCAGGTACCGCCAGTGCGGCCCTGACCCGCACCAGGGTCTCAGCCCTCGCTTGTGTTTCTAGCCCTCTCGCTCCTGCTCCCCCAAGAGGTCCCCAGAAAGCCATCTGATAAGATGCGTTTAGGTATCTAATTTGCATGATCCTGACAATTTTCATGCAAAACACATGCAAATACTGAGGACAGGTTCCTGGGGACAGAGGTTGCCATGAAATGTTTCTCAAGTTTTAACCAAATGCCTCTATCAGTCTCAAGGAGAGGAGCTTTTGGTTCTGGCCTCTACTTACATCTGAAGGACAGCTGGATCCCTCCCTGTTCATGCCTCCTCTCTTCTGGCTCCTCATCTCACATCCGAAAGGGAGAAGAAGGGGCAATGGGACCTCTCCCGAAGTCGCTGGGACCCTGGGTCCCTAGTGAGGTGGCCACAAAGTCCTTCTGAATTCTCCAGCTGGGCCTGGGTGAGCCGGAGCCTGGGCGGGCTCCGGGCATGGTCCCAAGCCACCAGGCAGTGGTTGGAGCCAGCACTTACCAGAAGCAGGCTTTTGGGGGCCCCCTGGGGGCACCTGCCCGGTGTGTTTATACAGCGGTGGGGTCAGCCAGTTGACGAGATAGTGCACAAAGAGGCAAGCGCTACACAAACCCTGATGATTAATGAACGCCCTGAATACAGTGCATCTGGAGGGGTAACCGGATACCCTGCCAAGGGAAGGTCTGATTGCCAGGGAGGCTGCGGATTTCGCAGAGTCCTTTCCTGCTTCCTGGGCCAGGCCTGGCGGGCCCCGGCTACCGCCTCCTCCACCCCAGACGGGACATCTGTCCAGGCCAGGGCCCTGGGCGGCGTCTGCTTCGTGGGCCCTCGACCTGGGCAGGGGTGGACTGCCTTGAGTTTAATGCTCTGCTGTCACTGTCTGCAAATCCTCGATCATTTTTGAACAAGGGTCTCGCAAATTTTTAGTTTGCCTTGGGCCCCACCCACGATGTAGCTGGGGCTGACTCCCAGCACGGGGCCCTGGGATTGCCAAGGGTCACCGCAGCTCCTCAGCTCGGCATTCAGAGCCCTTTGCGGTTCACTTTCCTGACAGCCTCTCCAAGCTCCCCACACGCCGCAGGTGCAGGGACCTCCTGCCTTCGCCTGCGGTTCCGCCTCACTCCTTCCCACCTCTGCGCTCTGCGCTCCCTGCCCCCACCACGTCTGGTGAGACTCCTCCTCTCCTGCACTCCCTGTGGACTCCTCCTGATTCAGCAAGGCCCTGCGAAGGGTTGTTTGCGTCCTGAAGATGTCTTTGAAATCCTGCAGGCGGTGTGTGGCTCTGGCCTCCCTGCTTTCAGAATCCCTGAATACCATTGGAGCACTCAGCAACTAGGAGCCTGAGGGGATATCTCTATCTACCAACTGGCTGGGCAAGACATCAGCCAATGGGGGCTGATGGGAGGGGAGAGGCACAGCCCAGGAGCAGGACCCACTGCATGGACGGGCCTTACCCTTTCACTTGCTGGATGGTGGGAATCAAGGGACTTTGGGGTCCAGGACAGTGGTTATTTATGAGCCTTCAAGGAGGATATCAACCCTTTAAAGTGGGGACCGCAGACCCGGTGCATCGAAGAGCTCCCTACCCAAGCACAGCTGTCGGCAGGGGCAGTGCGGGGTCCATCCCTCTGTCCGGGTGTCCAGGAGCTGGCTTGGTGTGGAGTCGGCACTCTGAGAAGGAGCAGGGAAGGGCATGGCAAGGGCAGGAAGGTGCTCGGACCCTGGGTCCCGGTATGCTTCCGGGGGCAGGGGCGGCAGTAAAGCAGCTGCTCCCAGATCTGGAGCCCCGTGTCTTCCCAGCTTTCCCCACGGGACCCTCTACAGCCAAGGAGCCCAGCCTATTGCAAAGTGTCCTGGTGGGGTGGGGGTGGGGTGGGGATGGGAAGGGCTGGGGGAAAATGAGAAAAAGGAGGCAGTCCAGGCCTCCTGCATCTGCACAACACACAGAAACACACACACTCACCACCCCACCCCTCACCCACGTACACACACACACACACACACACACACCAGTACACACACCCATCATATATACCTCCACTCACACATACCACCCCCCACTTAAATACGCCCACACCCCCTAAAGCCAGGAGTGAGTGACCCACAGAAGCCAGCACGTGGCCAAGTCAGGCATTTCTGCTGGGTCCAGAGGGTGGTGGTGGGTGGGGGTGCTGCCGGTGCCCTCCTGGGTACAGGGAGGACTTGGAGAGGCAGAGACAGGAAGGTGGTGGGCGCCCAGGAGGGGCTGGAGAAGGGGATGAGCCTTAGGAGGTCATGGGGAAGGAGAGCACAGGCCAGAAGGGTGCAGGAAGAGGGGTGCGGGGCGGGAGGAGGGGGCTGGCCCGTGCGGGCCACCTTCCGCGCGCCAGGTGTGCCCTGGGCCCTGTGCAGACGTCAACCCTACGCTCAAACCACCACCCCCCCCCCCACGTGAGGTGGGAATGATGATCACGTTTCACAGGCTCAGACCCATGAGGTGGCCGGCCCCAGGGCCCCCAGCCTGAGAGGGGAACCCGCTCACTGACCCGCGTCTGCTGGACCCCATATCCCCTGCCTCTCCCACCTCGCACCCACTGGGGTGACGGGAGCTGGGTCAACGGACCCTCCCTGCCCGCACCGCCCGTCCCCGAAGGACGCAGCTGGTGGGGCGGCTGCCCCTCCTCCCCTGCTAGGTGCTCAGGAGCTCTAACTGGGGAAAAGGGCAGAGGCTACAGGGTGAAGAATTTAGGATAGAGCCGTGTTTTCCCGACTCTTGAGACACTTGTCACCGGGGGGCTGGATTATTCTTCATTGCAGGAGGCTGTCGCAGGCCTTGTAGGATGCTTGAAAACAGAGAATCTGTGGCCAGTACGGCCATTCCTTCCCATGTTACCACCAGCTGTGACAAACAAAAATGTTTCTGACATTTCCAAATGTTCTCGGTGCGGGGAAGGGGGAGGGGGGAGGGGGAGGGGGAGGGGACAAAAAAAGTCAGCCTCTAGCTGGGAACCTCAGGGTTGCACAGATGGCTAGCTTGTGAGGGTCTGGCCCCTTCCACACAGATTTGGGGTGCGGAGGAGCCAGCCACACACAGGGGGACGAACCGCGTGACCTCCGGAGGGCCTCGAGGGCGGCCCTGCAGGTCTGGGCGGGCCCCGCCCCGCCTTCCCGCACGGGCCACCGGACGCCCATAGAGACGCTTTGTCCAGCGGCTCCCTTCCGCCTGCTTCCCCAGCGTGGCCGGACCCAATGGCCAATTATGAAAATGAAAAATCCAGGCCTCAAATGAGTATTTTCCTTGGGTGCTTTGATTTCCCTGTAATAAGTGCCTGGCCACCAAGGAATCTCAGGAATGTGGCCTTGATAATGAAAACAGTCACCTGACCGGCACAGAGGCCTCCGCGTCTTGAGCGGCCCCTTCCCCTTTGGGCCGGGCCCTCCCTAGAATCGGCCGTCCCCTCTCTGCGCCCTGGACCCTGCCTCCCGAGGAGAGCAAGAGTCCTTATCAATGGCGGGCCTCCTATCAGGAGGGACAAAATGAAGCACAGCTCTGCCTCCAGCCGAACATCTTGTGATTGCTAGGATTGCCATTCCTGTGTTAACGTGTTACGGGGGTGGGGGGGGGCAGGGAGACACCGAGGTCAAGCCCCTTGCTCCAGGGCTCAGAGCTGGCAAGTGGAGGTGCTGGGATTTGAACTCAGGCAGCTGTTTCCAGAGCTGCTGCTCCAAAGAGCTGAGCCCCCTCCCCCGAACAGGGACCAGGTGTCTGGGTAGGCAGCCTGGGTAGGAGGGCACCCACCCAGGCAGCCTGGGTAGGAGGGCACTGGCTCTTGGTGCTCCCGGGCTGGCCAGGATGGTGCGGAGCTCCGCAAGGGGCACTCCTGGCCCCAGGAATCTCACCGCTGTCTGTAAACAATGGTACAGGGGTGGCCGGGGAAGGGGGACTGCTTGGCTGGGCAGGCCAGGGGAGCCCACCTTCCTCAGGGCTCCTCCTCAGACCCTAATTCTTTGACGTTTTACCCCAAAGAGCATGCCCCCAGATCAGGATGCCAGTCAATGGTATTTTCCCAGGCATCAGTATCTGGAAGCAGTTTAGGCACCGGCGTGGGTCCCGAGGGGGGTGGGCCGCAGGGCCTCCTGCACCTGGTAACTGGCACTCTCCTTCCTGCCTACCTGGGCGTCCTCCTCTGTACGCTGGAGGGGACACACCCGACATCACACACCTGTGCCGTTTAGTGAGACAGCACATGTGAAGCCTGCGGCACTCGCTCTCTGGAGACCCCTGTCGGGCTGGAGGAGGTGGAGGTCACCTAAGGTCCTTGGGGTTCATTTGGCTCACCTGTAAAGTACGGGTGACGACACAATCCCATCTCAGGGCCGAGGGCCCTCGGCATAATGCACAGAGGGCCCCGGGTGCTGGGGACAGCATGTGCAAAGGCCCAGAGGTGGGAAGGGGGTGGGCTGGCCCGGGGTTCCAGGCCATTGGGGCACATTCAAGAGAGCTGGGGATACAGGCTGGGCTGGCTCCGGTGTTGAGGCTGAAATTCTCTCTTGGCTTCTCAAGTCCTGGGACTTGGTGGGAGAAGAGATGTGATAAAGCTGAAATGACACCCTCCCCGGGCCCAGAGCTGGGTGTCCGG